GGATTGAAGAACCTTGTTGGGGATCTTCGTCGTATTCGTACAAGAAACAGCAGAAATGTACAAAAAAGCGTGGCACGTGCAAAGTTGTTGTTTTGCGTACTATAAAGCCGATTGATTTTTGACGTTCTCGTTGCCGTCGCGTCGTCGGATCTTAAGTCCTTAATGTGAAGAAGGACAAATACGTTAAGGAACTTGATTTTAGTTGCTAGTTATTTCAGTTGCTCCCCAGTATCACCATGCTCTTAAGAGCAATAGATCTCTTTAGCTTGTTTTTTTTTGTTTTCCCAATACAGTTCATGTGATAATACCCTAGAGAACTGTTTCTTTCAAATTTTGTCTTATTCACCTGCATATCTACGCAAAATTAATTTATGAAAAGACATTAAGGGTCAAGTTCCCCTGGGACCTTTATTGGGAAAACAAAACATACAAGATGTGTATTACATGTAGGTAAGTTTTTTGTATTAACTGTGTGCATTGATTTCTTAATGTTTATGTGTTTATGCTTTTGTTTTATTAATTTATAATGCCGAATCTCATATAGACATGTACTTTTTTTTATTTTCCTAGTTTCGTAGAGAGTATAGAGTATGTGTAATAGTTTTATATGGTAGTTTATTTTTTCTTTTATCCTTTACATTACGCGATGCCACAAGCATTTGCTTTAAATTTATGTTGTGATCGAATAAAGTATTGGACGATGATGACCATGATGGTGATGATGTTGATGATCGTTAACTTTGATTGTGATCGGAAATAACAAAAGAAACTTTTTATTATCATTTTACCTTAAATTATGTACTGGTAATTAACAGCATATAATTTTCAGTGTTTTGCTAACTGTTAACCAAGTCAAGAAAGCGTTAAAATTCGATTAAAACGTACACTGTACCAAACGATGGAATAAACTTAGTGGAACGTGGTAATGGCTGCATTTGCAGGCTAAGAATAACCAGTTTTCTTTGAGAACTACTGAGTAAGTATTCTTGTGCAAGAAAAAAAAAACTTGTTTTGTTTCCACCAAGGAAAGCTTGAAGAAGAAATAGAGAAAACAAATGAAAAAAAAAAAAAAAGAAAGAGAAAAAAAAACCGGAAAAGAGAGATCAAAGGGGCAGAGGAAATTATTCAATGGCAAAGTCTTGACTGCAGTTTAAACTCTTATTTGACTGTTTTCTAGCATCCAGTCATGTCTGTTTGAAATAATGTCTGGGCTTCTCTTCCCAAAACTTAACACACCTTTTTACGACTAACTTTTATTAATGATCATTCATTCGTCACGATCTTTCTTTCATGTAAATTAGTTCTCAAAAACCCTTTTCGCAGACACTAATAAGTTTTATTGTATTGTACGGAGTAAACCAGCCTTGAACACGCAGTTTGACTGTATATTGCCGTTGTTTGATATTCTTGCCTCCTGAAAATGGTGACGTTCAGCTTGGATGACCGTTTGCTTGCTGCTTACCTTTTCTATGGCTCTATTCTTCTGCTTAAAATGCTGTTGATGTCATTTATCACTGCCTTTCAACGCATAAAGAACAAGGTTTGGAGTTTTTTAAAACAATTTTTCTGCTTCATGACATGATAGTCTTTAGGTTCAAGATCGGTAGTTTGCACTTAGGTTGCAATCAGGCGATCTTCTGCAGTAACTTGAATTAGATGCTAAAAACTCAGAGAATTGGTCTGCTCTTTCACTAAATGGTTATTTTTACTTTGTACTTTATTTGTTATTGCGGTGACTTTGTAAAAATCTAGAAAAAGCGGCTTGTGCTCATCAAGAAGTAATAAAGGCTTGGACGCTTGGCCGATCTTAAAGCCAGGGGCACCCAACGACCGTTTTCGGGGAAATATCTGTTCGGAGCCCTCTAGAATGGCTAGAATTTTCGGGAGCCCAAGAACAGCTAAAAATTTCGAAAATGTTTCGTGGTGACTGTTCGTTGGGCTCAGAGTTTCGGGATTTGTGTGGTTTGTTCACCTAAGAATTTCGGATTTTGTAGTAATCTCTAGATCACCTAGAAATTTCGTAGCTTTCGTAGTAATCTCTAGATTCTGATTTCGACACCTACAGATTTCGTAGCTTTCGTAAACTAAGAATAGAGCAAAATTTTTAAACCCGGCAGTCTCATTAGCGAAAATTTCACACAACTGATTTAAGCCCCAACGCCCCAACGACCCTTTTCTGGAGGGTACCAGGCTTACCGGTTACGCGTACGCTATATCAGCGTGCCCATCGCGTGAATAGCGCCTGTCATTCATGTGTATCGGTCGATGGACACTCACGACAGTATCGGCAACTGATGAGGTTCGTGAGGAGAACCGAAACCATGGTCTTGCCTGATCACAAACTGTGGCAATAACAAAACAGTTCAAAGACTGTTAAGCTTATTCAAAGCTATTACCAAGGGAGGAACTACGCGCTCCAGTCAAAAGACTCACACTATCTTTAGAAAAACACTAAGCTGGAGTTTACTGAGTCACAATTCATGCAATTCTCCATAGTAAGTTTATGTAGCTTCAGTTTAAGCTGCAGTTCACTCTTATAATTTTGGATCTGTAAGTCACTATCCGTGATAATTTAACATTCTGCAAAGAAAACTGACGAGCTGGGCCCAGCGTGATACAGCATTGCAGAAAAACATTACACTCACGGACTAAAGAGTATCGCTTAGATCAGATCCAGAAGGCACTTTGGAGAAAATTGGAACCCTTATTCAGCCGTAATAAAAAAAGCTTTACGCTTCAAAAGGGGTCAAAGAAAATGCGCTTGCATCAGAGCGCAAATCCTGCCGATCAGAAAACAATAACTACAGTCAATCGATATATATGTCATGACCTCTCAGTGTGAAACATGCGGCTAAAACCACATTTGCTCAGTAAAATGCAGAACCTTCCAGAGCATAATCTACCCAGCAGATAAAAACAACTTCATTGGAATAAGCAGCATTTTGGCATGAGGTAAAAGTCGTGTAGGCCTACCACCCCCTTTTATTGCCTGATAATTTACTGTAATCGTCAGCTGATAATTCACCTAAGAATTCAGATAATTGTAAATTATTATCTATACTTGGAGGAATCTCCAGACTCCAGAATCTTGGTTATTCCAGTGTTCTGAGTTTTTTCTTACCAAATTTCTGTTTACGCAATTCAGTGACAATTGCCCGTAGGGACACACTGACGCCGAAATACAGGAAAAAGTACCCGATTAAACAGTTGTTTAAACTGTTCAAAGAACTTTTATAAAACGCGTAATCTTCTGATCTTTACTATCCCATCCTGCGTTCTGCCTACTTGACCTATTCCGCCTATTCTTCAGCTTCCCCCCATCAGCTGTCCTCTCCTATTACCTTAGCACCCAGAGCACCTTACCCCTGAACCCTTGGGAACGAACACAAAAGAGATTTCCGCCGTCTCCCGGGTCCGGTCTTTAAGTGCGGGCTCATTTTCCCGAACAGCGGCTGGTAATCGAGCCTAAGCCGTGCCCTGGGCCATCCCAACTGATCTCAAATCTGCCAACTGCCTTAGCTGACTGCGTTCAATGTGCGTTGTAATCAGTCAGTGCCATGCCGTATTTCAGATTTTTCCGCAAGTGCCGTGCGAATTGAGTTCGGCAGGGTACAAGACGTTTCAACTGGCTTTAAAATCACTTAAATGCCTTTTCTTTTACACCTAGAATTTTCTATACATTCATTAGACGTTTCAACTGGGTTTAAAATCACTTAATTCCCTTTTCTTTTACACCTAGAATTTTCTATACATTCTACGTCGCCCTAGAAAATTCGGAGACATTCTCACACTAGATAAAGTTTTCGGAGAAAACTTGAAAGGACCCCTAAAAATGTCGGTCAAGGGAAAAGCTCGTCAGGTAATCTTACGTTTTCGGAAAGCTTTCACTGTAGGCTGTTATTTTCGGGAAAGGCGAAAAACAGCCCTAAAAAATTCGAGACGTTCAAACCACTCCTAGGACGACCGAACAGATCAAATTTTTTTAGCGATGCGAATTATTCATTTATATTGCTTTTAAAGCACTCCAGGATGCATAAGGAGCCATTTCAGATCATTTCCCAGAAAACGGTCGTTGGGTGCCCCTGTAAAGCTTACGCCACGGACACGAAAAAATAAAATGCAAGTAGCACTTCAGTGTAATATGACAACAACTTAATGGCCGTTTCAGTTACACTAAAGACGCATTATCTGTCTGGACTAACTTGGACTTTGTAGTCGCGTCTGGTTATGCGTAAGTCTTAACGAAACGAAGGGGCACACGAGTCATTATGCGTTCAGACGAACCTTTCGATGACTACTGTTGGGTCGTTTACGTCTTTATACTCGAGACGCAAGTTAGCGTCCTCTACGGCCTATATCAGCTTGAGATGTCGCTAGTGTGAGTACACGGCCCAGAATTGTGAACAATCTAACAGAGAATCAGAGAGAATTGGAGAAAAATTTTTGTTAATACGTTCATGGACCTTTTCTCAATCGTTGCATTGACACGGAAACAAAAAGGTCTGTACCGACGGGGGACTTATTTATAGGAACTGAATGCGGACTGAAAAACGGCATACAGTTGAAATAATATATATCTTTATAGGGTGCTTTTTCTGCATAGCCCCATACATGCAGCAATCTGCTTGACAATGGTCCGTTGTATGTACAAATGCATAATAAATGTAGGAGGCTGTGCGTATTGAGTGAAACTCTTGACAGTTTATTGCGGTCTAAGAATAAATGATTGAATAAAGTGAAACTTCAAATTGTTTCAGACTTTAAGAAGTTTGTGCAGTTTGCATTGTAGGAGTTCCATGCACACAACTGTTTACTGGAATCTAGATTGCACTAAAAGAAACATAGCTTATCGAGAGGGCTTTCTATTCACAGAATTTACATGCAGTGAGGTCCATTGACTTTGGTAATCTGTTTGTTTGATAAATGTGTAAACTAATTGCATCACTGATCACCATTTGCATATGTGCACAGGCATTTCCAAGTCCAGAGGATTATAGAGTCAAAAAAGATGGTGATAAGGACAAGAGCAAAGAAGTAATAATACGAAAAAATGATGATGTGGAGAGGGTTCGACGGTATGTTAAACTGTCATCAGGAATTTAGCATTTTATGGTCAGATTTGGTTGGTTTATTCTTGAAGGCGGATTCTGGCAGAAATCGCTGGGTACCGCCCGGCTTAACTAATACCGGAATTACAGTGCGGTTTGTTTGCGGCATAAAGCTTACTATGCCTTGCCACGGATTTGTTATGTCGTATTCACCATTTGCTCACTGTTTGGATATCTTTATTTTTAAAATACTCCTCTCAGTGCAGACTTGGGCTGATGCAAACTATATGTATTCTGGCCCCGGTTGTTCAAACGTTGGATAGCGCTATCCATTGGATAAATAACTATCCAATGGATAAGTATTTAGGAAAACAATTGCGTTATCCTCTGAATAGATTTTTATCCGGTGGATAGCGCTATCCAACGTTTGAACAGCAGTTGAAAAGCTATGACGTAAAATTTTATGCGCAAATGAGTTCTAGCCAATCAGAGGAGAGAACGATGTTTCTCACACGTGATACGTCGAATCAGAATCGCGAACGATGTCTTTTCACGTGTGAGAAAAATGATACGTCCAATCAAAAGCCACAGAGGCGTGTGAGTTTCGCGCCAAAATCCCGCCTTTATAGGAGCTTGCAGCTTGCAGCGCCCTCGCTTTCTAGTTCGATTTCTGATACGTCAACAACTCGTGCGTAAATACCGTACGTAGTCTACGTAAGCACTTTTCCATGATGATTCTATATTCAGGTTATGTTCACACTGATAGCGGATAGCGGTTCCTGTCGGCACGAAAGCTGTCCGCCATATAGTGTGATCACCCACGATTTGCGACACTCCTTTCATTAGAGGTGGGAGTGGCGTAGCTTCGCTCCGTTACAGAAATTGCTCCGAAAATCAAATCATCCTTCTTGGGTGTGAACACAAGCCCTCGATCCGGTATGGTTTTCGTACCGGCGCAAAAGTTATCCTGTATAGTGTCAACGAAGCCTAAGGCCCCGTTCACTGAAACACGTCGCATTTCACATGTACCGAATTTACTGCTAACGAGAAAAACTCATGCGGTACATTTGAAATGCGACGTTTGACCTAAGATTCTTATGGTTTGCCTTATTATTTATTTATTCATTTTTTAGAGCACATCTAAATGATCTGGAGAACATCCCGATCTTTCTGATCATTGCCTTTATATTCATGTTGGCCAACCTGTCTCCTACCCGCGGAATCTGGT